AAATAAGTAGATAAAAAGTGATTTATTGAACATAGTTCTTGAACATATTTAAACAGCTTAGTTATAGTCTTTGTTTTATAAGTCTGATGTCTGGATTTCTTTGAGACAGTTTCCTCATTTACCTTTTATTCCTATAAATGGGCTATACTTTCTTGTTTCTTCATGTGTCTCATATTTTATGGAAAACTGGGCATGTTAAGTAAGATAAAAATGACAACTCCTTGAAGTCAGTCTTTCTTATTGTCCTGAAAGTTTTATTGTTGTTGCTTTTTAAGATTTCTCTTCATTTAGTGACTTTTCTGATCTAATTCTGCAAAATCTATATTTCTTATCATGTGTCACCACTGAAGTCTCTGCTTGGTTAGTGATGTTCTCAAACACCTGAATCAACTAGTCTTTGCCAAGAGGCTCCATGTGGATGTTGAGCACCTTCAGCACTCAACCTGCAGCTTGATAGCTCTGTCTTAGCTTTCACTTCCTGCTTATGCAGTGTCTCAAGGTCAGTCTGAAGTGACAACGTAAGACCATCTTGGGTCTTTCTGAACCACTGAACAGTCCTAGGCATGCAGAAAGCCCTATGTATGCATTTGGCTTTCTCAATTCCTGGTAACATGGTGGAGCTTTGCAAAGTCCCTATGGAAATCTCAATCTCAGATGTTTCCCGTTATACTTTCTGTTTTGCATACTGTTGTCCTCAAATGTTATCTGCTAACTCAGGCACCTGTGAAGAAAATTACCTCAAAAAGGATTTTTTCACAATGAGGAACTTCTAATTGGATCAAATAAAGATATCCTTCAAATGGGTTCTCTAGGCCCGTCAAACAGGCTAATTAATGACAATTCTTTGAGAATGTGACTTTGAAAGAACTCCAACCCCATGCTGCACCAGTAACTTCCAGACTGCTGGCTTTCACTATGCTTGTAGAATGTTGGTTTATCTCTACTGTGGGGAAGGAGAGGGGAGAACAGGACGAGTCGCAGTATCAGAATGCTCACTGTTCTTAGAAATCTTCAGTCTTTTCCTTGACGAATTCCTCCCTAGACTGCTGCACATCTTCAGTTCACTTCCAGAATTCAAAAGGGAAGCGGAATCTATTTTTACCAGTTTCTCAAAAACTCTACAGAGAGAATTTTCAAAGATGAGTTCTCACTCAGCATTTTTGCTGGCATCTTCCTACGTGCCTGTTTGTTTGTTTGGTTTGATTTGGTATTTGAGGCTGACATACCTTCAGTGTGGTATCACATTCTACTTGCCTTTCAATCCTTAATCAGAAGTTATTTAATGGATGTGGTTTCCTGTCACTATTGCCCCTTTGCTATTTTTTTCCACTTTTCCCCTCAAAATTCAAGGAGGCCATAGCAAAATGACAGGTGGCAAGGAGGCTTTGCCTGAGCTTCTGGAGATTGGGTTCCTGACAATGCCAACTGCAACCCCGGAATGGCCTTAGTCGGTAGATGTGAATAATCAGTAGACAAACCTGTTTGCACAGGTCTATTTTCTATCATTTTTAGTTCACGTTCACCCTACATAATGATTATTTTTATCATGAGACGTTGACACATGTATGTAACATGTGTCAATTCTTTCACTTCCCCTTCCCCTTCCTCTCTCTTCCTTACCCCTTCCATCCATCTCTAGATCTCCATTTTATTTATAAAAGCTGTGTCTCCCTGTTTCCCTATCATTTGTACTTCACTTTGCTCTTTAAATTATTTATACTTTGGGCTTATCATGTAAGAGAAACCATGTGGCATTTGAGCTTGCCTGATTTATTTTACTTACGATTATGGACTCAAGGTGCATCCGTTTTGCTACAAATTACTCAAATTTGTCCTTCTTTATGACACAGCAGAATTTTACTGTGCATAATGTTTTACGTCCTTAAAAGAACAAACCAATAAAAATTGAAAATCTTATAATTTCACATAGTACTTAAAGGCCCAGGTGCTACGTAAGACCTCATGAATTCATTGGTCCCTAGCAATAATAATAATGGCAGCTGCTTCATGGAGTCATCCTGAGAATTATGTGAGAAACAATTCAAATTCAACCTTTAGCACAGTGTGCTGAAGGAGCACTACATACACAATTGCTGAGATTGTTTTTGTTGTCAGAGAGCCAATACCTTGTAACATGGTATGACCAAGTGAGAAAGAAGACAGCTCAAAAATCCATGACTTCAATTGTATAAGTAGGAAAATAATTCACTTTACCTGATATTCTTCTGCAATGATATCTGGTGTGTTTTTAAACGTTTCCAAGGACAAGAAGTGAACCATTGCAAAAGCAGCTAATGGTACTGCTCAATCATTCTGCTTACTAGAAAATTCTTCCTTCTACAGGAACCAAAACCTTTCACCCTGAAATAAAGCTATAACCATCTCCATGTGACAACACTTCCACTGTCTGAAATACTCCCTCTAGCTCTTTGTTCTAGCTATGCTCTGGGGAGGAGACTGGCACTTTCCAGTACAGACCGGTGTTCCCTTGCCTCTAACTGCCACAACCCGAGATTCCCTGTTAAAATCAAACAGGACCTCATTTCCACCTCCCTTCCCACAAGATAAAGCAGAAACACACACACACACACACACATTCACACACGCAAGGAAGAGGCTTAATTTATTGGTTGCTTTTTGGCAAAGGTTATATAAACATTACTAGGGTGAAAATTAAATTGTAGTTACAGATTCATAAAACTTTATGCCAAATTAACTTTTATGAAACTATTAAATTCCCTTTCACCCTCATATGCAACAAGGTATTTAGATCATAGTGTATATAATCTTCTGTTCTTTTTAAATGATTAAAGCAAACTTAATACATAACGCAGATGATATTAAATATCTTGAGGAATGACAAATCAATCCAACTACTTTCACTGTTAAGCATCGAAAGGTCATTTTGAAAAGTTCTGTCTGTGCATTTTTCATTTCACTTTTCCTCCTGAAAAGGACTCTGTTGGTGAACTGTCCACCATTATTTGTTTTTTGTATACACATTGTAAGTCTCCCAAAATAACACTTAAAAGTCTTTCTTAACATTGCTTTAAAATGTTAACCTTTAAGGAACATTCAATTAAAAGAAATACAAGGTCATTTCTTGACTCTAACACATCTTCTTATGTGATCCCCTCTGACCTGACCGAAGTCTCCAACAACATACAATGTGCCAGCTTCAGAAGAAGTCGTATAAAGGAGAAAGCAATGCTTGAAATCACAGTGACCAAAGGATTCGAATTAATAATTACATTAAATAACCATAGTTTTTTTGTTTAACTATTCACATTCCACACAGTGGAAATTATCCTTTCCTCCAGATTTTTCATTACAACTTTTAACTTTGAAACACTACAGCAACAAAAACACCTTACAGATTATAGGATGTGTTTTTCTCTTTTAATGCCAAGCGTAAAGTGTACATCATAGAATTTGTATTTGGTGTTTGGCATCATTTTAATAAGTAAAGACCAAGATCACATCTAACTTGCCATTAAAAAATTCTTCTGTAATAATGAAAAAATATGTATGCAATTACATCATCAGTGACTCCAATAAAGTAAGTAACAGATATGGCATTTTCAATAAATGTAGGAAGACACACCACACTTGTGCTAGTCTTAATATAGGCACAATAAGAAAAGCAGACATTTCCCTCTTTGGCTGGTTCTGTGCTTTTAGGGCTTTTATGCTGCTGATTATTCCAGTGAAGTTAATTTTGAAGAAATTCTCTACACTTCAACTAAATCTGACTTAATGCAAGACCATGGCACAAGCTTCTAAAAGAAGATGGTTTCTGCCAACAAAGTCAACTCTTTTTAACAAAATTGCATGTTAGTGTCAAAATTAAAAGAAGACAAACTCAGTGTTTGCTGGTTCTGAATGTCATTTTTCCTCTCTGGTACAGTTGTACACTCTCAGCTTCTTCTCCTTTCTTTTCTTTTCCCCCACCTTCAAAATTCTGCCTTGCATTTTTGTGCTTAATTAAATCCATTCTGTGCTTTATTGCTAGAGGTTATGGGTGACACAAAGATTCAGGGCAGGGGCATACAGTGTATACAAAATGCACAGAGTGTGTTTGCACAAATTCACTAGTGTAGAATCATCAGTAGTGATTTTAAAAAGAGACCCATTTGGGGTGTTCAAGATAACTTCTGTCTTAAAGCAGGATTCCTGTCTGGTTGTCAGATGGGAGAGCATTAGGCAAAAACAAAAAGAAATATAATAATTGCAATGGTTTTTTGAAAGCTGGAGCCTCAATGGGCAACTACAACCTAAATCTGGGATGTTTGTTTTCCAGGTGACACATGACTTTGCTCATGAAGATAAAGGCAAATTGAGAAGTTAAAGGCCAAAATTTAAACAGTATTTGAGGCATTTACATATAGAACCTCAGGCTTTATGAGAACAGCTTAGCCAAATCCAGAGTGCAATAAGGTTCACCCACCTTGCACCTTGGCCATTAAAATTCTAAGTATGAAAAGCAAGCAACCAGAGTTTAATCAGAGGATAACACCTCCAGGAGGCACAGAATAGTTGCAATGTCCTTGTACACCCTGGTTGAACATACACAGTGAACATACCCAGTGCTCAGTGGGGTTTCCCTATAGACCCTCAGACAGCAAGAGGACAAAAGGAGAAAGGGAAATCACATCTCTATTTCTTATTCCAGATTTTAAGAGACAGTCACTACTTACTGAGATGAAATCCCCATTTCTTCCCTTCTCTCTCTTCTCTCTGGATCAATTTAACAATAGCTAAAAGGAAAAGACCCAAATAGACTTCTAGCTAAACTGGGGCATATAAAACCTCTCATCTCAGAGTGTCCTTTACTGTCAGGTACACTCAGCAGAGGCAAAACTTTTCATAATACATGGTGGTGGCTTTCAGAAGTGTTATGCAGAAACAATGAACTGGGGAAAAGGTGATTATAACCAAGAAAAAGACATCAGGACCTCAGTTTATGAGGTTTTTGTTTTCTGTTTATCTATGTGTAGAGCTCTTTTGGTTTAACTCATTACTTGGTTCTAAACATAGGAGCGGTTGATATTTAAGTTTTAAGACTAGTGTGGGGTTACAGTTAGTTTCAAGAGATCAGTGACAGCCAAAGTTAATGATTTTTGGCAATTTTATTTCTCATCTATTCACTTGGGTTCTCTTAACTATCAAGAAAACGCTTTCATTGAAGCCTAGGTCCCACTGGGTTTTTCAGTGGGCCTCCCAAGTCTCTGTATATCTCCCTGCTGATTTTTGCTGACCCTGATTGGTCCTCGCTCTCAACTCTGCCTTGGTCACATGTCTGTCTTGCTTGTGCTTCATCACAGCAGTGCCTCACCTCCACCAGTCTAGAAGGTTGTCACAAGATGGCAAATGTTCACATCCATTGTCAAGCAAATTAATTTAGGAGCCCTGGCAGAACTGGGATGAGGCAAAATGGTCACTGAGAACCTATGGGAGGGCAAAGTAAGCGGGGGAAGCAAGATCAGGTTAAAGTTTCCGAGTTGAATGCAGCAGGGACACAGGTCTCTTGCCCTCAGAGTGGCCTGTGCCATTGGCATTCCTTCTGAAGGAAGATCCTGGTCCCCTGGAGGGCACAGGAAAGACAAGAGCAGATCCCAACCACAGCCTCGCCCCTGTGCGTGTGAATGGGGGTGCTGTGGGCATTTCCGCCCTCCTGGTGTAAAGCAAAGTATCAGAGTGCCCTTTCTCAGAGACGGTTCCCTCTGGTGTCTGAGGACACCGCACACTCTCACACCTGCACACACACACACACACATACACACACACACACTATGCACCAGCAGATTCCTGCCGGGAGGAATGCTGCTGGTTCTTCTGGCCTCTAGGTTTAAGCAGAGTGGGAATCAGGGTGTTTGGATCTGGCTCTAGGCTGCACCGGGCTGTGTCCCCAGGACAGGGTGGATGTGTTCACTTAATCCAAATCGATGGATATGCAACGACACTGCTTCACACGTGTGACTCTCTTCTTCTTGGTGGGAGGCTGCAGTTCGGGGCAGTTGAGAGTGACCATCATGGTAGTGAACTTCTTGGGCTTGCAGAAAGAACAGGACTGAAAGGAGCCCTCCTCCTTCCGGATGTGCCTGGGGATGTAGAAGGAGTTGCACTGGCCATAGCAGAAGCGGTTGATAATGGTGCGGCTGTTGCAGCCGTCCTCGTGGATCGTCTGCTTCAGCGGCTGGGTCTTGCACCAGTCTCGCTTCAGGTACTTACGTTCAGTCACGTGCAGGGCCTCCTGGCTGGACTCCAGCACCTCCTCGCCAGGCATGGCTGTGCCCCGCCCTTGGCCTCGCCCGCGGGTCCTGGAGCCTGGCTGCTGCGGTGACTGAGTCTGCTCCGAGTCGTTGTGCTGGGCCTTGTCCGGCGGCGGGATGGCACCTTGAGACCCTTTCTTTTTCCCTTCAGCAGGCGGCAGCAGGGTCCCCAAGAGGAGAAGCAAAGCTCCCACAGTGTAGGCGGTGCGGCTCATACTGAAGAAGGGAAGCAGGGAATTAAGTACAAATTAATAGCAGCACCTAGCATTCTGTGGGGGTACTTATTGAACACTTTACATAAAACACTTCCTGGACATCTCCCAGTATCTCTAGGAATTATTTCTCTCATTCTCCCAGCCATTAAGCTGTGACGTAACCAGCCCAGGACCACACCACAAAATAGCCAAGATTTTTTTGTTTATTTTTGTACTGAAAATTGAACCTAGAGCCTTCCCACTAAGCTACATCCCCAGCTGCTTGCCTGCCTGTCTCCCTTCCTCCACCCTGTTTTCTTTGGACAGGGCTTCACTAAGTTGATAAACTGATCAGGCTGGGTTGGGACTTGCAGTCCTTCTGCCTCAGCCTCCCAGAGCACTGGGGTTACAGGTATGTGCCACCGTATGCCTCAGTAGCCAGGAAGGAAACCCAGTCAGGATCTATCTTCATTACTTGGAGTCTCAGGAGAGCATTTTGCCGGGCTCTGACACCAACTATTCTGGATTCTGTACTATGGGCACAGAAGTGCATGCATTCTTGTATTTGACAACATGATATTCTCTTTGTCACCACGCACAGGAAAGAGAGACCTGGGAGAGAGGCCAGAAAACATGTGACAGAAACAACAATGTAACTGGATGAGCAGTGGATGAAAAGTCAAGATGGAGTTTCTAGTTGTAATCCTGGGACAATCTCTTGCCATCTGATCTTGACAAAGTTGCTCTGCTTCTTGATAAATGACTCTGTGTAAGCAAAAATACAAACACCTCTCCCAAGAGAGGTTGGTTCAGATCAAATGTGATGTAAAAGTAAAAGCAATCTGAGAACTAACCATGTATACAGAGCTATGACAGATAGAACAAATGACCAAAGGAGACAGATCAAATAATTCATGACTCCCTCCACCTCTCACTTATTCTCATCTTGAAACAGTGCGCGCAAGAGAGAGAGAGAGAGAGAGAGAGAGAGAGAGAGAGAGACAGGGTCTCACTATGTAGTTGAGACTGACCTGGAACTCACTATGTAGCCCAGGTTGGTCTCAAACTAACAGCAATCCTCCTGCCTCAGCCTCCCGAGTGCTGGGATTACAGGCGTGTGCCACCATGCCTGGCTTTACTATGTTTTGAATGGTGATATATTATGCACCTGCCTGGTGTGTGTGTCTCTGTGTGTATGCATAAAATTTTTAAATGGTTTATGGTCCCAGCACTCAGGAGGCTAAACAGAAGAATGGCTTAAGCTCAGGAGTACAAGACCAGCTCAAAATAAAGAAAACAGGAAAAAAGGGAAGAGAGAGAGAGAGAGAGAGAGAGAGAGAGAGAGAGAGAGAGAGAGGGGGAGGGAGAGAGAGAGAGAGAAGAGGGAAGGAAGGAGGTAGGGTGCGAGGGAAAGAAAGAGAGAGAGAGAGAAGGAAGGAAAAAGAAAAGAAGGTAAGAGAAAAAGAAAGGCAAGCCAATGGGCTGATAAAATAATTATGTGTAAATATTTACACTAATAAATGCCATAGGTATGTTGACTAAAATTAATGACAATGAATTATTGCAAGTGGGTCTGGAATTAGATATGAGTCAGGAGGAAGGGCAAGATTAGATGAAGAAAGACAAAAATAAATAACAAATACACTAATAAGGCAGAGGGAATACTGACAAAAACCAGCCAAGCATAGATATATATAGAGAGAAATGAATGGAGTGAAAAAAGCAAATCAGAGCCAGGGTTTTTAGAGAAGGTAGAGCAGACAGAACAGAAGAAAAGGATGAGGGGGAATAAGAAAAGAGATTTTTTTTTTTTAAAGAAGTATGCAAGCAGATTCTCTCTGGTGGTCTTCTGAGCCCTGACAGCACAGACAATCATCAGGGATGCTGCAAGAATGCAGGTTGCCTGAAGACAGCTTTGAATAGCAAAGCCTGGAGTGTTTGCAGCCACGAGGCACAAGGGGCACAAGGGGAATTGTTAAAACATGGAAGGATTTTTTTTCCAAAGAGTGCTGCTTCAAATTTACAGCCTCCCTCCTCAGGTCATCAGGGCAATTTGACTTGATTCTAAAGGCTTCTTCTGCCCCATTACTAAAGTTTTCTGAACCTAAGAACAGAGTTGTGAAGTACCATTTTCTCTACTCACTAAGTGTAATTTAATAATCCTTCCTCAAGAAACTGGACACATCGGTGTGATTATCTAGAGGAATCATCTTTCAAAGACAAAAGCAGTGTACAATCTACATTCTCAATGGACACCCTCTAGTAGGTAATGCCCATTCAGCCTGAAGGCTAATATCAAGCCAGGATGATTCAGCTTTACATTTAAGATAGTGAACTGTCACCATCCTTTCCACATCAACCTAATACTTGGGAGCAAGTTCAAGTTGGAGTTGATAATGTGACACTTAGCTCCTGCTCCAACTGTAGGCTCCCTGGCTTTCGTCACTGTATGTTACAACACCCTTGTTCATTAAACAGAGCCTTTTTGGCCACAACAACAAAAGATTAATTTCTTTGTTTTGTCATTTAAAAGATCACTTATGAGAAAAGTGCAGTTATAAAACAACTGATTTTTCTCCAGAGGACAGGATAACTCGAGCCATGACTTTTCAGTCTCCTGGGCACGTACACTGTGAATTTGAGATGCTTTCACAAGTTTCTGCTAGTTATTCAAGACCAACATTTAAATGAGACTCATTCACTGCCCATTTCAAAAAAAGAGTATACAAGATAACCCTAGAACTATTCCCACAATGTTTTCCTGCACCTACCAAGTTGACCTACAGCCCAATTCCCTGTCTCCCAGTCAAGACTCTCAGAGCCCACTTGCACTGGGACAGGCTCAGGCTGCTTGGGAATAGATATCATCTACAAATGAGAGGTTCACTATATATGGCAATCCCTTCCACAAACATCTATCCAAAAATATAATGTTATTTTCCTGGAACTACTTAGGAGCCTTTTTATCTGCAACCTTCAGTTCGTAGCATTTCCACATCTGTTATTTAACAACTACCTAGTCTGAGAGCTGGTGAGAGCTTGTTCACCATCTTACTCTTAGTCCCTGGCACAGAGTAGGTGCTCCTTAAAATCTGTCGAATGATCGCCAAGAATGACATGGATTTTACATACTTTCTGTTCTTTGCCTTTTAAAATTCCCTCATGGGTACCAATTCATGTAAGAGTTATTTACAAAACCTTTGGTTTCTGCGCCTCAGTATGGCAACCTTTTTATAGCCTACAAAGCTCCCTAACATTTGTCTTTTTTCTAATAAGACTCCAAACTGCTCCCAACTTTTTACCTAGTTCAATACAGGACACTGTGGGCTTTGTTTTCCAGTTGAAGCCATCAGATACACTATGGTAGAGACTAACGATAACAAAGCAGCTAATTCAAAATTAGTGAACTGAGGTTTTCAGCTTTAATTTGGACAAGCATCCTGTTCACATGGAAGCGTGTATACCCTATAAGCAAACGGGATGATCAAGTGTGACAGGCTGTTCTTAAGTAGTTTTTTTTTCCCCTCAAAATAAGATTTATTAAGTGTGAAAGATGAAACTTTTTTATTTTTTAAAAGCCTATTACTTAAAAAATCTTTAGTGCACATCATGAGGCTTTCGAGTACTCAAACTTTATAGTTATTCAGAGAAAAGTAAAAACCAGCTTCAAGAACATCAATCAACAGAAACCTCAGCTTCTTTTTCCATATAGAATACCCAGTGCACTTCTGGGTGTTCTACTTAACTAAGAATAAAGGAGTGAGAATTTTAATTAGTCCTGGAGCCAGGCTGTGTCACTCACTGTGGTCCATCCCCCAGCCCTCTCCACCACCCAACAATCTTGATCACTCCATGAAAGAAATAAGGACTTTTTGCTCTTGAAATCACAATTATATTGCTATCAAATAATGTGTACTTTCACCATATCATAAACGTGCAAGAAATCAAAAGATGTAAAGTCCCGGACGACAATTCTTTTTCCACCTCAGTGCCTAGCAGGATGGTGCAGCATAAGAAGTTAACACAAATGCTGACCTAGAATTAGGTTCCCGTGAGTTATCACCCATTTCGAACCATGAGCTGCAAAAAACTTTATGATAATTTCCATTTATTAAATGCATTATTCACATTATTAAATTAAAGCTTCATCTCATGAACCCAGGGTGCATCATGACACCCACGGAATATTTCCCTCAGTTCTCCCTTGCAGGCAATATACTGTGAACCCTACTTTAACAACCCCTTAATGCATTTCTATTTCTCCAAGTAATACAATCATATTTTCTGGTGAACTCTCTCTAGGATTGTTCTCTACCATCAAGCTTCGTTCCACCCCCATCTCCCCCGCACCCTGTCCTTCTCTCCAGTCCATTGTATCAGAGGATATACTCTCAAAACAGGTCTTCCCTACTTGTGCTTTTCTTCCAGTGTTCCTTAGTAATCAAGACTAGTCACCTGCAAGCAAGATAAGCCATATTAACTATCTCCATTCTATGCAGGTCATGGCAATTTATCTCTCTCAGCAAGGCTTTCAGGACAATCTTCTTCTTGCTCTGAGGATTTGGAAATAAACATGTTCAGTGTGACCGGTGTCCAGTGTTTTTGATGCCTTTGAGAGAGTTCAGGCCAGCTCCTTTCAGCAGTCTACTCGTCGTACTGTTTTAGCCAAGTAACCTGCTCATCATCAGTTAAGTAGAGTAAGAATTACAGTGAAAGGCAGATGTCTGTGCCTGAACTTCTGGTCAAATCCTCATATTGCATCTAGTTTTAGGAAGATAGTCAACAAACATGCCATTAAATTATTCTCCTAACATAAAACACAATGGTATTGGCTGCCAATGTTCTACGTGCAGGCTAAGTTTTAGAAAATCTATTCCTTTTTCTCAAAACTGAATCTTTGGGAAAAGCAGAGGCTCTTTTTAATTTGATCTTCAAAATTTTAAAAAATTGGACTTTTAGAAATTACGTAGAGAATTTCTTAAGAATAAAATAACGGTTGATTTTTTTTTTCCAGACAAGTTGTATCAAGGAGATAAGAAGTAGTGATTGGCAAGCCATTAGATGATAAGAATCTCATTCCCTACAGATTGCAAGTCTTTTAACCACAACCTCTTTGTCTTTCCTTTAAATACTGGGGATTGAACTCAGGGCCTTCACACAGTTACATTCCCAAATCACTTTTTATTTTGAGACAGGGTCTAGCTAAATTTCCCGAGATGGGTTAGAATTTATGATCCTTCTGCCTCAGCCTCCCAGAGTGCTAGGGTTACAGGTGTGCATCACCCACCATGACCTGCTTCAAGCTCCCTGTGTTGAAGATCGTTTAGGCAAAATCAGGATGGGGCTACATGAGGAAGAGAGGAGACCACTTGGTGGTTAAATATCTTAGGAGCTCTAAAAGCACTAGAGATTTTTTTTTTTTAGTGGAGTTAATGATTGTATGTAATTCTTGAGGTCAACAGGAAATGAGTTAGAAAGTAATAAATATTAAATGTTCACTTAGCACTATTGAGAGACAGCTAAATTACAGGTTGGGTATTGTACAGAAAGTGGGTCATTAAGTGTGTAACTGGGATCAGGATTAAATTCAGAGCAGCTCTGTGACATGTCCTGGTCTATTACTACTTTTCCCAGCACCATCACGAGTAATAAGAATTACCTTTTATTTTTAAAACCTTACTATGACAGGTGCTATGTTAAATTCTGTCCAAACCTTATCCTTTTTCACAACCAAATATGAGTTAGATAATATTCTCTCTTTAATATTCTCTTGGATCAGGAATTGATCCAAGGTCACAGAGCTGAAAAGTGGGAGAGCCATGCTTTGAGCTCAGCTCTAGGAGGAGTTCAACAATGTCCTTAACCACTGTCCACTGACACCCAGAACAGTACTTAGGGGATACACAGATTTGTTTTCTAATGCAGTAAAATTGGAAGTATATTATAAATCAAATAAGTATCTGTTTTATATCTCCATGTTTACATATGAAGAAAAAGACTTCTCTTGTCCCAGATATTTCTGTTGTACTTTGCATTTCTAAAACCACATGTTAAAGTAAGGGGAATTCCTTCCAGATGTAAGACCTGGGCTGGTAGCACTGGGTGCCTTTCAGATAGGAGGTGGAGTCACCTCCCCTATCCACTACTTTTCCTTTCCTTAAACCTTAATACTTAGTTTTCTGGTTTTTTTACTTCCCATTCTGGAACACACTCTACAGTGTAGCTGTCAACAAGCATTTCTCAAGAGGGAGGTCAGTCTGTGGGTCTCTTTGCATTTGTCACTTTCCATACTTGACTGTTAAGACTAAGATGGCTGGCTTGGGTTTAGAAGAACAAACAGGAGACTCACTGAGACATGTGGAGGCATGATAGGTTTTTATTCTTCCCATTGTAACCACTCTCATAAAGACTACAGCAGCCATCCAGGATTTCCTACAGACTGTGGGGTTACTAAAACATTTCACTTAATGAACTTTTAAGAAAATAGGAAGCCTGTGAAATTAAAGTTTACCAAAGACTCTGATTCCTACAATGACCCAGGGGTTAAATACACAAGCGTGTGTATACACACACACACACACACACACACACACACACACACCACTACAGACTAAAGAAACCTTAAGAAATTAGTTAATACTAAAATTGCAACAGTGCAATTGATCAAGTGATATTAACAAATCACTACATTTGTAGATTTGGCTGTGGGAGAAGGGGGTGAAGGAGAAACTAATTTTCTTAATATCCTTCCCAGTTTTTTTTTAAAGTCCATCTCCTCAAGTTCCTGGCGTTTAGAAAGAAAGAAAGGGAAGGAAGGAAGGAAGGAAGAGAGAGAGGGAGAAAAGGAAGGGGGTAAGCCCTAGGGGTGGAAGAAGACCCTCACCCCGTGGGATGGGGTTATCTTAACCTTTTCTAAGCTATTTATTTAACTTGTGTGTACAGCCAGAAGGAAGCCACTACTCAGGGGTCCCCGGACAGTTAAAAGCCCCAGTAACCCACTGAACACAATAGATTGTTTGAATCAGTTATCATCCTGGCACCATCTCAAGGGAACATAAACACAGGGCACACCGCGAGGATTTACCCTTCCCAGCAAGAGATCCAATTACCTACCCATGGTCGCCTCGCTGCCCTCAGACCACTTAAGAGGAGATTTTTTAACCCCTAACTTTGAGATTATATTTCTGTCTTTAAAAGCTAGGATTTGGGAGTTGGCAGAGGAGGGAAAGTAGTAGCAGGATTACACTGGCGAGTGGTCCTAAGAGCACAGGAGAGCGTTCACAGCAGAAGCTGGTCTCCTCAAGTGCTCAACCGGCTGCGCTCTGGGACCTTCGCCTGGGCCTGGCACCCAGACCAGTCAAGCAGGACATCCCCAAAGCGGAACCGTGATCTGAAGGCCACGGCAAGAAAGAGCCTTGGCGGCGCTTCCGTTCTTCCTAAGCCTCAAGTCTAAAAGTAACTAGGACCGAGGAGATGACAGCCCCGTCGACTCTTCACCCTCACCACTGTTTCGCTCAGCAAACTACAGGGGTGACTGGAGAGAGGCCGGTGGAGCGTAAGAAATAGGGACTGGACGCCCAGAGCACAAGAGCAAAGGACCGGACTCCTGCAGCCGGCCGCACGGTCTTCGGTAGCCAGCGAGAGGCAGCGAGGCGAGGCCAGTGCCTCTAGGATACAGATTAAGGGGCACCCGCGGAAGTGGGACCCAGCCGGTGGTCGCTGCCCGGCGCCTGTACGTCTGCAGTTCAGCCAAGGCGTGCGTGGGATCTGAGAGTCTCGGAGTAGGCACCGAGCCCTCACGAGGGCAGCCAGCGCTGGAGTGTGTGCTGGGCGAGCAGCTGAGCTGCGGCTCGCGGGGCCTTCGCCAGGACCCCGCACCGCCT